TTGTATATCTCTAGGAATTTATTCATTTTTTTTTTTTTGGTCATCAAATTTGTTAGCAGATAGTTGTTCATAATTATCTCTAATGATCATTTGTATTTTTTTGTTGTAAATTGTAATATCTCCTTTGTTTCTGGATTTATTTATTTGGATCTTCCTTTTTTGGTTAGTCTAGCTAGCAGTTTGTCAGTTTTATCTTTTCAAAAACTAACTTTTTGTTTCATTGATCCTTTGTATCTTTTTTAGACTGTATTTAGCTTACTTCTGTTTTAATCTTCATTATTTCTTTCCTACTACTAATTCGGGGTTTGGTTTGTTCTTACTTTCTGAGTTCTTTGATGTTTATTGTTAGAATGCTTATTTGAAATTTTTCTACTTTGATGTAGATGTTTATTGCTATAAACTCTCTTAGTACTGCTTTTGCTATATCCTGTTAATTTTGGTATGTTGTGTTTCCATTGTCACTATTTTCTTAATTTCTTCATTGACCTAGGGGTCATTCAGGAGCTTGTTGTTTAAATTTTATGTTTCCAAAGTTTTCTTGTTACTGATTTCTAGTTTTATTCCATTGAGGTCTGAGAAGATACTTGATATGATTTAGATTTTTAAAAATATGTCAAGACTTGTTTTGTGGGCTAACATATAGCTTATCCTGGAGAATGTTCCATGTGCTGGTAAGAAGAATGTGTATTTTACAGCTTTGGATGAAATGTTATGTAAATGTCTGTTAGGTCTATTTGGTCTATAGTACAGATGAAATTTGATGGGATTTTTTTGTTTGTTTATTTTCTGTCTAGATGATCTGCCCAGTGCTGAAAGTAGGGTATTGAAGTCCTCAACTATTATTGTTATGGTTTATCACTCTAACTCTAATAATATTTGCTTTATATATCTGGGTACTTTAGTGTTGGGTGCATATATATTTACATTTGTAATATATCCTGTTGCTAAATTGATCCCTTTGTCATTATATAGTCACCTTCTTTGTCTCTTTTTATGTTTTTGATTTAAAGTCTATTTTGTCTGATAGAAGTATAGCTACTTCTACACAATTTTGGTTTCCATTTGTGTGTAAAATCTTTTTCCATCCCTTTACTTTTAGTCTATGTCTTAAGAGGTGAAGTGAGTTTCTTGTAGGCAGCATAGAGTTGGGTCTTGTTTTTGTTTTTAATCCATTCCACCAATCTATATCTTTTAGTTGGGGAATTTAAACCATTTACATTGAAGGTTGTTATTGATATGTATATATAAGAACTTACTCCTGTTATTTTGTTGAATTTTTTCCTGATCATTTTGTGTATCCTTTGTTCTTTTCTTCCTCTTTTGCTGTTTACTTTTACAGTTTGGTGATTTTCCACAATGGTAATATTTCAGTCCCTTCTCTTTCTCATTTGTATATATCTATTCTACCAGTGAATTTTATACTTTAGTGTGTTTTCAAGATAGTAGATATTTTACTGTTGTTTCCAGGTGTATAACTGCTATAGTTTGGATGTTTGTTCCCCAAATCTCATGTTGAAAGTTGACCTTCAAAGTTGGAGGTGGGGCCAAAAGGTGTTTGGGTCATGTGAACAGATCCCTCCTTAATGGCTTAGTATTATCCTCATGGTAATGAGAGAGTTCTCATTTACCAGTTCCCATTACAGCTGTTTGTTTAAAAGGGCCTGGCATCTCCTTGCTCTCACACTTTCTCTCTCACCATGTGATCTCTGTACATGCCAGCTTTTGTTTTGTTTTGTTTTGTTTCCTTCCATGGGAGGAAGCAGCCTGAGTCCCTCAACTGATGCAGATGCCAGCGTCATGTTTCTTGAACAGCTTGCTGAACCAAGAGCCAAATAAACCTCTTCACTTTAGAAATTATCCAGCTTCAAGTATTTCTGTATAGTTGCACAAATGAACTAAGACAGGCTCTCTTAAGCATTTCTTTTAGCACTGGTCTAATGGTGTGATGAATACCCACAGCTTTTGCTTGTCTGGGAAAGACTATTTCTTCTTCAGTTTTGAAGGATAGACTTGTTGCATGTAGTATTCTTGGATGACAGTTTTTTTCCTGCACTTTGAATATATCATTCCAGTTTTTACTGGCTTTATGTAAGGTTTCTGTTGAGAAATCTGCTGTTAGTTTGATAAGGATTCTTTTATATGAGACTTGACACTTTTCTCTTGCTTTTAGAAATCTTTGTCTTTGACTTTTGACAGTTTGACTATAATGTGCCTTGGAAAGAGATTTTTGAGTTGAATCTATTTAAGAATTTTTGAGCTTCCTGTATCCAGATGTCTATATGTCTTGCAGGTATTTGCAGATGTTATTTCATTATATAAGTTTTCTGTACTTTTGCTCATCTTTTCTCCTTCCAAATACTACAAATTGAAATATTTGGTCACTTTACAGTGTTCCATATCTTATATAGGCTTTATTCTTCTTTTTTAAAAATTATTTTTCTTTATCTTGTTTATTTCTATAAACCTGTTTTCCAGGTCAAAAATTCTTCTTCTTGACTTTGTCTACTGTTGAGCTCTCAGGTGCATTTTAAAAATTTCATTGATTATTCAGTTCCAGGATTTCTGTTTAGCTTTTTTATAACTTGTTGTTGAATTTCTTATCTAGATGATGATTTTTTTTCAAGTTTATATATGTAATAATATGACATACCTACGTATAACATTGCTAGGACCATTGAAGAAACTATAAAATGATGATCAACATTTTCCCCTTCCTATAAGGGGTTTAGATTAAGGGTGATAGCATGAGGAAGTGGAGTCAAAAACACAAAAATTATATACAAGTGACAGCCAAAAAGTTAAGAAGCCAGGGACTCCAGCGATCCTGCTTTCTTCATTCCTTCCTCACCAGCTTCCTCCTATCCAATCCTAATGGCAGCCTGACAATTGAATGACCAGTCATAAGAGAAGTACATACATGCCTCATCCCCCACACACACACATCAGCAAGTTCATCAGTTATTCTCATTGGGCCAAATGTTTAGCATATTGGAATTTGTGATGTAAGAGTGCAAGGGAGGATTACAGAATCTTAACTCTTGAATAGTTAGTTCTCACCCTGCCCTTCTCTATTATAACTAGCAGGTTGTATTCAGTAAGATTCAGTCCAAGCTGGTGATAACTAGATTGTAGATGCTGGTCACTTTCAAGTCCTTTCCTCCTCCTGTTCATGAATCATCAGCATTGCTACTTCTCCACATCCCACAAGAGCTGGGTTGCTGAGTTCTGAGAAGGCAGAGGTTTCTCAGTCTTCCTCATCTCCCTAAACACTTTCCCCAACTTCCTGCAAGGTGAATCATCTCCTAAATACCTTCTCATTCAGCTCTGCTGTAGTACTAAGCCCCAAAGGCTAGTTCAGTTTATCCCTTTTCTTTCTCTTTCCCCAAAATACAGCTGGCATCATATTACATCTGACCCATGGGTCAGCACATATGCATGCATGATTGAGCATGTTTTCCCAGGTGCACAGTTCTGCTGCCAGAGCAGCTTTTTAGAAGCTAAGGCCCAGATGTAGGCTGGGAAATTGGGCTGGGTCAGAGGCAAGAAGATCCCATGGCTAGGTTCTTCTTTTTTTTTTTTTTTTTTTTTTTTTTTGACCCTCAAAACTGTGCTCTATATGAAGTTCAGGTTCACTTGCCTGAATTTGTAATTCCCAAATCACAACTTTCTCTCACCTCGTGTAACCCTCAAATGGTTCCCCTGTGCAATACTTCCCCAGTATTTCATAGCACCACACTATTACCTCATCACCTACTGGCCTTCCTCACTTTTAATTTTACAATGAGCAATACAGAGTTTTTCTGCTGGAAGTTTTAGGGTGTTAGAATCAGAATCTATTTTATATATATTTTAACTCTATATTAGAGATGAGGAAATCGAAATCCAGAGAGGCTAAATGAGTTAAAGATTATACATGAGCACTGCGGAGACAGAGTAGAACTAGAACCCAGATGCCTTGATTCCTAAACCAGTGTTTTTCCACTATCCCACAATACTTTCAAAAGCAACATGCTGGAAGACAGAGAAAGAAAAAAGTGCCCATTTTCTGTGAGTAACATTCATCAATCTTTACATTATTTGAGAGCCAGGGCAAACTGCAAGAGATAGTAAGTAACAGGGGCTAAGTGGGCATTGTAGTATTAGGCAAGCAAGTCCATTTTGCTTGCTTTTTCTTTTTCCTTTTCTTTTTTTTTTTTTGAGACAGAGTTTCACTCTTGTTCCCCAGGCTGGAGTGCAATGACGTGATCTTGGCTCACTGCAACCTCTGCCTCCCGGGTTCAAGTGATTCTCTTGCCTTAGCCTCCCTAGTAGCTGGGATTACAGGCACCTGCCACCACACCTAGCTAATTTTTTGCATTTTCAGTAGAGACAGGGTTTCACTATGTTGGCCAGGCTGGTCTTGAACTCCTGACCTCAGGCGATCCACCCACCTCAGCCTCTCAAAGTGCTGGGATTACAACCATGAGCCACCATGCCAGGCTCTTTTTCTTTTGAAGGATTTTCTAAACCTGCTGTAATGGAAACATGAAGCAATAGCATCATAAGGGACAAAACACTTAGAAGCACAAAAACATGTCTCATTTAATCTACCGTTCCCAACTATGTCAGGTTAGCTTTTGGATGTTAAACCTGCCATATTATTCCCAAGGCTCAGCTTAATAAATTTTGGGATATCCCCCTCCAAAAGGAGAAATCACATCTCTCCATTTTCTCACAAAAGAGAAAGCATTTGGAGAATTATCCAATCCTAGTCTTTCCTATTTCTGGGCCCTACCTGGACTATAGGGAGGAGGTAGGAGTCTCAATTTAACTAAAGGAATAGACTCAGAGCCCCTCTTCAACTTACATTACCTTCTCAGCAGCCATGAGGAGAATCATAGTCATTTCTGGCTAGTAAACTGAGATCTGACTGGGTGCCCATTTCATCCCTGCCTATAATATACAAACATCCAGTGGGGTAAGGAATAGTAGGAGAGGGCAGCCTGAGTTACCCTGCAAGCTTACTGGTGATAACCAAGGACTTTCTCTGGGGCAGATCCTGTGGCATGGATGTGGCCACCGGTTCCCAGATTCTTGTCCGGTTTTGCACTAGGCAGTTGCTTATTCTTCATCTTGGCTTTGGACATGTTGTAGTTTCCTGAGTCAAAGTATCTTTTCCCTTTCTGAAATCTCTTCATGACGAAGCCGGAGCCTCCAGGCTCTTGTCCTAGGCTCGGGTACTTGGACTTCAGCTTTGGCTCCTCAGCTCTCTCAGAGAGAATACCTTCTTTCTCCTGCATCACTGTTCTCCCTGCTGGTCTTCTCCATAGGGTTCTCTTTTTCTTGTTACTGGGATGTGATGGGACTGAGTCTGTGGAGTATAGGAAGGCCCAGAAAGTCAACTGGAAAAGGGAAAGGGGAAGGGAAATGGGGACAACCTAAGCTGCTGCTCTGGCTCCTGTCACTAGGGTTGCTCAGTCAAAATAGCCATAAATTATTTTTCTGATTTATTTATATCATTTATCTGTGTTCTCTCGTATCTCACTTAGTTTCTTTAATATCATTATTTTGAATAATTTTTCAGGCATTTCATAGATTTTCTTTTCTTTGAGATCTGTTACTGGAGAAGTGATATTTTTCATTGGAGGCGTCATGTTTCTTTGCTTTTATGTATTTCTTGTGTCCTTATGTTGATATCTTTGCATTTGGTATGAGTTACTCCAAATTTTATGGATCGGCTTTTGTAGAGAAAGACTTTTTTCTATAGATGTATCTATAGCGTTGGTTGAGTAAAACCAAAGCTTTGGCTTTGATGCTGGGTGGCTGCAATCATATAGTGTCTGTATATTTTTTTCAGCTATAAACACTCTCTGTGAATTCCTCAGTTGCAGTGGTTAGCAGAGGCTATGGTGAAGTTTTACTCAGGACAGGAATGCCAGGAGAGACAGTCCTTGGGTGTCAGTGGTGGCAGCCGCAGGCTGGATGTGCAGGTCCTTGGGCCCCTGAGTAGTGTGAGTACCAGCAAAGGTGGACCTACGCAGACCAGTCCTTGGGCCTCCAAGCACCTTGTGTGGGTGCTGGCAGTGGTGGGCCAAGTGGGTCTTGTGTTCTTGGATGGCATGCATCGCATTTCTGGTGGTAATTGTGGCTGCAGACCTACTTCAGGTCCCTGAGTGGCATGCACAGGTGCTAGGAGTGGTGGTGGTAGGCTGGGTGAGCTGGTCACCAGGTCCCAGGGAGGTTCATGTGGGTGCTGGTAGTGAGTGGGGTGGTCTCATTTCTTATGTCTCGGGACAGTGCATCTGTGTGCTGGTGGAAGCAGGCAGGGCAGGCCCACCCCCAGGCAGCATGCATAGACAGCAGTGGTGATGGGGTGGGCCTGTCTTCAGGAACCTCAGTAGTGTGTTCAGGTACTGAAGGCCACAGGTGGGGCAGATTGATCCCTAGGGACCTGGATGCCATGCTTATTCATGCCAGTACCCAGGACCCCTGAAGGCATGAGCAGTGGCCTTGCTGCTAGAGGAAGTGAGGTTGTTTACAGTGGTAGCAGCAGCCCAGGGCATGCAGCTCTCAGGCTCTTTGGGGTGGGGTGGGGGGCGTGTATGCTTTAGCTCCCCTTGTCGGTGGCAGCCACCTTGTTGCATTGTACCTCCTCTTCTTTGGGGTCTAGGATATTGTGTGGCTAGAGTGCTAGGCAGCATGCTATACTGCTGGGTCTAGTTGGCATCATAATACTGCAGCCCTCTGAGGGATGTCATTGGGGTTGTGGAGATGCAGGGCTGTCGGGCCCTAGAGCAGGATGTAGTTAGGCGGGCTCTCAAAATGGTACTGTGCTGCAGTTGCTTGGGTCTCCGATAGTGTGTGGGACGCAGTGCAAAGTCCCTTTCTGGAACTATGCCTTTGTGTGGATTCCAGGCAACTCCTTATACTAGTCTTGGGGCCCATGAGGGCTGAGAGGCTCTCCCTTGGCTGGATTGTAGGAGTTTGCATAGGAATGTGGGCCACTGGGGATATTGTGCTTACCCTTTCCCCTCAATGAAGAGTTCCTCCTGGCTCCACGCCAATACTGATTAGGCTGACTGCTTCAGTTCTCTATTCTTCAGTGTTTCAGAGGTTTCCTGTCATTTCCTTGCTGAATTCCAGTGTTCTCTCTTAGAAGCTCCATTCAACATGGGGCTATCTACTTGCTCATTTGTTCTTCTTTGTGGAGGAGGTGAGTGCTGGGTACCGTTAGCCATTTCAAAGCTATCTAAATTGAAGTGTTTTATAGATGCCATGCATCAACGGTATCTTTAATAAATGCCTGAGATTCTATTAAAATCATGGAATATGTTTGTTGTATAGAAAAGTACAGCGGTTATGTAGTTCTGATAATAGTTTATATTGTTTATTATATTTTCTTTATATGGTTTTAAGGTACGAATAATTTCTTTCTAGATTGCTGATACTCTTTCTAGGTTACTCAAGAAATTATTTACATTCTTAAATAAGGAGAGTTTTTAGATTGAAATGTCTTTATTTCTAAGCTTCATAATTTTTTGCAACTTTCAGAATATATTCTTGAGGTATTCTTAATAATTACATACTCTCAGTAGCATAGAAGAATCATAAGTTACAATCGAAATTTATCTTTACATTGAATCTTTGTCATGCATAGACTCCATATCACCTTTTAGAATTAGAAAGGGGAAATTTAAATGGCATAGACTATTAAATTCACCAGGTAATCACATAAGGGCATATAAAAAATGTCTGTAGTCTAAAGTCTTGTTCTTTACAATGTAATAAAAATATATAAAATCCAAATTTGGCTCTGAACTTTAAACTTGCAGAACTCTACAAACAGTACAGGAAATATGTTTTGAAAAATAGCCAGAAATCAAAGGTCAATTTAATATGCCTAACAAAATGAGAGATTACCAAAAGTGGTTTTCCTTTTTAGTCCTTCCTTTTTTTATTTTCTTTTTATTGAAGGAGAGCATTCTATCTGTAAATGTCATTCTCCTTAAAATGCTCAAAATAATTTCCAAAAGAATAAATCTTTTCTTGAGATTTTTACACGGCTTATCAAAAAGTTTTCATTCCTTATACCTCACTTGCTTTTGACATTATGAATGTGTATCTCTTGAAAGCATCTTTTCTTAAATAAATATTTACATAATGACTCAGTCTACTGCTAGTTCAGGCAGTATGGATTTAAAGGTGTGAAGACATAGAGTTGATTCATAGGAGCAACTGGCATTTCTTAATGATTTAACAAGTTTAAGAATCATTATTTTAGAAAGACAACAAATATTTTAAGTCTAACACCATATGAAAACAAATTGTATTTTATCACTGATTTAACATGGGAGGGTGTGTGCATCAGTTATGTGTGTATGTTAGTTATACATTATTGTATAACAAATCTTAGTGGTCTAAAATATGTACTATATTTCATAAGGCTTGACAGGCTCATATGGATTATTTTACTCTATTTACTCTTTGTCTCAGCTGAGAATGCAGATATCTGCATATCTGACTGGGCTCCATCATCTAATATAATTAATGCACATGACTGGCAGTAGCATTGGCTTGTATTTTGTTTCTTCTTCACATGGCCTCTCAACATGGCTTAGACTTTAAGAATATGGCAACTGGGTTCCCAAAAAAAAGTAATTCAAGCAATGAAGGAAAACACTGCAAATCCCTTGAGACTTAGCTTCAGAATTACACAGCATTGTTTGTACTTCCTTCTATTACTGGAAACATATTACAGCGATAGCCAGGTTACTGAGAGGAGAAGTAGAATCCAGTCTCAATAGAAGGAGGAATCAAAAATCATTCACAGCCATCTTCAAGCAAGTACAGGGGGAAAAATCTCCATGTTTCATGAGAAATGGACATGGTATCCTATAAATTATTTCAGACTCTGCCATTACTTGCTTTTTCTAAATATTTCTCTTTTTTGCACAGTGATTGAAAGCAGAGCTCATTGTATACATTGAACATTATAACCTTCTGATCTGACACACAGCTTTGGAAAAATATATATACGTAACAATGGCTGCAGAATAATTACCATTGGCACATAAAAGTAGAATAAAAACTTAAAAGTTTACATTTAATTTATGGAAGCCAATTGAAAATTTCTAAGTGTAGTTTATAAATATAAATTGTTTATACTCATTGCTTGATTAGACTTGGAATGACAGAAATGTTGATGACTATTACACCACTCTTATGTCAGAGATTTCTAGGTATTGCCTCCTTTTCACTTTCTCCTCCTTCCTTCGTTTAGATTTATACATTTTTAGCTTAACAAAAGGATTACACCTTCAAGTGTAATCCATTGTAGTTAGTTGTATGACTAAGTGCCAATTATTAGTAAGAAGTGTTGGGTGAGCCCTTCTTGTCTTCTTTCATTTTACTGTTCAAAGTAGATAATACTGCTGAACAAGGTTCACATCCAGATATGGAGTGGGAAGCTGAAAGGAGTCTGGTTTCCTGATGACACTGAGGAACACTTATACCAGCCCTTGACTGCCAACCTCAGGATTGCTTTCATGTGAGAAAAATAAACTTCTGCTTGTAGAGCTACTTTTATTTGGGATTTTTGTTGTTGTTGTTTTAAGGAGCCAAGCCTAATCCAAACTGATTCACCTGCTAAGCATGCTCTCCATCCTGGACTTAAACTTAATGAAAATATAATCAATTTTGAGAGTTATCTTTTCTATGGGTGATGTTTTAGATGTGATTCTTGCCTTTTTTTCCTTTTTTCCTTTTTTTTTTTTTTTTGGCCTGCCACTTCTTTGGTGGCTTCAATGAAAGAAATATTGTATATGTGTGCATATGTACTCATTTACAAGCAAGGAAAATAAAAGAATTGTTAAAGTTGACCTCAGATAATATCCTCGTTGTTGTTTGACGAGTACTAATTGGCCAAAAGCTACACCAAAGAAAGTGAATTCTTTTCTGTCTACTGTTTTGATTATCAGAGCACTATTGAGAATCCCAAGCAGGAAATGAGTAAGTCTAATTAAAATCAAATAGTAAGTTAAATACCTTAACATTACTATGACTAATATGTAATCACTGGTTGATACAAATAAAACTTTACAACATTTTATATACATAGAAATATTTGAAAGTGGCTTTGAAATTTATGTTTTTTATTTGGACTGTGCCTTTAATGCTGCTATAATCATTTGTATACAAGTCTTCGTGTGGACATATGTTTGCATTTTTCTTGGGTATATCCCTAGGAGTAACATTGCTGGGTCATATAGTAACTCTATGTTTAATAATATTAGAAACTACT